AGAGTGAGGGAAGAAGAGCAGCCTCAGAGCTGAGGTCTGAGGCAGCTGGAAGACAGATCAACGAGGCTTTAAGACACCGAAGGCCAGCTTTTACTTTGAGAGGAGAAGTCACTGAAGCGTTTCAGCAAAGGCAAGACATGAGCTGACTTTTAGAAGGATGAGTCTGGCTGCTGTGTAGAGTCGATTATGGGATCAAGGGAGGAGATGTTGAAACCCGCTTCCCCTTCCTTACCTTCCAGGACAGAAACTTGCCTCCCAATTTTAAACAACTCACTTGCACATCCTGCTGTGAGAATGAACTGAAGGAACAGTGCACTTACAGAGAAGAGAACTAGGACAAGAAAACTGAGAGGGAGGCTCGCCCTCAATAACCTTTATTTATAATCTTCCTCTGGGCAAAAGGAGCTCTCCATCGTGTGGGTGCTGAGTCGTGGTTGTCTGGTGTGCTCCTCGAACTGCAGGCTGTCAATAGCAGAAACCCCATCTTGTCCTCACCAGGAGATTCCAAAAACCACTTAGGAGGTTATGAAATAAATTGCTTGGAACAAAAGCTAAAAGGGGAGGAGGGAAGAAATGTCAAGTGATCATTTAACCTGGGGAAGAGAAAGTTAACAGGAAACTTAGATTTCTTTTTCCACGCAACTATTTGAAAAGCAGGGCTCTCGCTGTCTCCACTGCAGACTTCGAGGGAATCAGGTGGACATAAAGCAGAGGGTGTGATCACAGTGGGAAATAAGGTGACCATGGGATACTATGTAAGTTTAGATGCAGCGATTGACAGCCCCCAGCATATGGATGGTACACAGCATATATTGAAGGAATGGACAGCATTAGGGGGAAGACGCTTTTGTTGGGAGACAACGGAGTGATGACAAACCTCTTGGGCCCTGGAATGCTTCCTCATAGTAAACAAAAGCGGGGAAGGAGGCAGAGTAGGGGCAAGGCTTAGCATTACAGTTGCGTGAAGTTCCCGACATGACTCCAAAGCACATCCTGGGCCTAAAAGGCCACACCCTGAAAGCAGGTGGCCCAGAGTTCCCTCTTCATCTCATCCAGAGCTTGTTCTCTCAGACATGCCTCGGTCTGAGCTTGTCTAGTCTTATAGAACAAAGCCCAAGCCCCAAACAAATTGGACAGTGGGTCAAGCCATGGTCCTCCACAGCCTGGCCTCGGCCTACCTCCACAGCTTCCACTCCCACCACTCTTGCCCTTAAGAGTGGAATGCTAAGGATGCTAAGCTGTTGAAGGATGCTAAGCTGTTTGGGGCTCATACCCCTACTTAGCTGTGCCACACTTCCCTTCTTTTGCTCTGATATTCTAACTGCCTAGAGCACCATTCTCCCCTGTGCCCCTCGCCCCAGCTCCAGGACCATACCCCTTTCACCCGGCTGACTCCTCCTGTTGCTCTTAACAGTCTCCTGAAAGTATGGAAAATCTGTATCTAATATGTCTGCCTCCCCGACAGTCCCCATATGCGCGCACATGCACGCACACACACATACACACACATGCACACACATGCACACGCTCATAATAAACTATATCCTCCTTAAGAGTGATGGCCCCCCTGTAATGCTTGTCAAGCCGAAGATCTTAGACAGTGGATTTGCAGGCAGACAAGTGCCCAGTCTGATGACGGCAATGCTGCAGACCCTTGGGACACCACACAGGGAAGGGAGTGTGATCAGAATGAGGCCTGAGGAAGCCTAAGGCAGCCAGAGGAACAGGGTGAGCCAATAGGATGGAGCCGCTTGGGAGACTTCCTGGAAAAAAGGATTTCCTCTTAGAGGAGATTAGAATCCTGCCCTCTATCAGATCCATTCTCCCCACCCCCATCTCTAACACCCAGGCCTACCTGTCCTTCCAGACCCAGTTTAAATGCCACCTCCTCCATGAAGCCTCCTGTGATTGCCAACCCCCTCTCCCAAGACTAAAAGTAATTTCACCCTTTTCTGGACCCCCATAGCCCTTGTTTGCAATTCCCAAGTACATGTCTATCTGGTTACCAAGTTATATACGTTCATGTTTTTATCTAGTCATTATTATCCCAATTATCTAGTCATTATTATCCCAATTGAAAACTCCTTGAAAGAATAGTCTAATTTTTATTAAAACATTGCCTAGGACATTTGTTCGTTCATTAAACCAACATTTGTTAAACATCTACTACATGACAAGCACACTGGCCTTGAAATATCAAAATGGATAAATCATGGTCCCTGCCTTACAGAATTCAAAGGCTAATGAATGGGTGGGTGGACGGACGGATAGATGGTTGGATGGATGGATGGGTGGATGGTAGATTGATGGACAGTGGATGACAGATAGGTGAATGGCAAATGGCAATCCAAACCATTTCTGCCAAAAACCTCTTCCTAGCTCATTTAGCTTCTCCTTTAAATTTTTGAGGACCAAATCCACAACACTTCAAGTAAAAAACCTACAGATGCAGAACAATTTTACATTGACCCCAAGTCATCCAGGAAACCATGGGCAACAATGAGCCTGAGTCTTGGGGCTCCCACCGAGACCCTGCATGAACACAGCCCTACACTCCCAGGCTTCTCCTCATGGGATGCAAAGATAACTATTCAGTCTCTACCTTCAACATAGCAAAAAGATGGAGCAGATGCTAAAATGGCTTCTTCCCTCAGCCTGCTCCTTCCCTTTGTCCTGGGATGCCCACTATTCCCTTGCCCTAGGGGGATAATAAAGGGGGACACAACTCCCTTAGTTATTTCCCTGGATAGCTGTCTCACTAAACCTTGACCATCACCCAAAACATAGTAGTGGACCTGCCTTATTTTGGGGTCCTCTGGTGTTAAAATCCAAAACCTGGGTCCCAACAGTAAACCAAATCAAAATCCCACAATGGGGCAACACTAAATAAATCCCTCTTTGCTGTATCCTTCAGTTTCACTAGTGACAAAGGAAAGAGACTTCAGAAGTGTTGGCAAGAATTTTCTGAAACAGGGAAGGCTGGTCCCAGAGCAGAAGGTCTTGGTAAAAGGAGAGGGACTTTTGCAAATGAGGTTATTGCTTGGGAGCCAAGAGCCTGAGCCAAACCACCTGTGAGGTTATAGCCAAGGCTAGAAGTCAAGAGCTTGGAGAGTGGGGGTCAGAGCAGATGAATCAAATAAACAGAGTTTAAGATCTGCCAACCCACATTTGGGCCATTACAATGTGAGAAGTGATTTTAGTAGGGCTCAAGGTAAAGCATTTCAGAGGGGGTGGAGAGTGCAGGGCCTTCCAAGGGACTGGTAATGCAACCTGTGTCTCCATAGTTCCCTTGAACACAAAGAGCTGGCCAGATCCAATTCAAAGGATCTAAGAGAATAGTGGTGCCTATTATCTCAGAAGTGGATTTTCCCCTTCCAGTAATCCCCTTTGTGTAGCCAACCAGCTCCAAACCTATGGATCATGGCCAGGATCCACTCCTCTGAACTGTTTTGGTAATAGAGACCAACAAGAATGTTTTTCCTCTTTTATGTAAACCAGGAGTCTTCTTTATAGAAATAAAACACAAACATACCCACATAGCCGCTTGCCTACAAAAACACATTTATTCTAAGATACACACCCACTTGATCTGAGTTTCCTATGTAAAGCATTATATTCATCCCCACTGGGGCTGGCTACTTCCACACTTTGCTTGCTCAGAAGGCATGAGAAATTCGTTAACCTGCCCCCAGCTTCTCAATGTGGCCCATCACAACATGCACCTTCCTGGTAGGTGAACTTGAGAAGTCTTTCCCCTACTACCTACCAACCTTTGACTCCTCCTCCCCCTCCAGAGACTTAGAAAAAAGCCAATTCAGCATTTTCCCAGGGGAGGGGGGCAGTAGTGGGAAAAAGTCAAAGACTTCCTGCTCTGACACCAGGGGGTGAGTCCCAAGACAATGGGGAGATTAGGGCGGGGCTTATGAAGGGCCAGCCTTCCAGCCCAGGGAGCACAAGCCCCTGAGATTAACCCTTTGTTCTTCTGTCTCTGCTGCCCTGAGCTTGCCTCCAGGTCTGTATGAAGGCCACATGGGCAGGGACTGGCCTTGGGCAAACTGTGCGCCCTTCTGTCTGCACACAGTAAGGGCCCCATGGGCACTGTGCTGGAGGGATTGGAGTCTGAATGAATTGCCTGGCAGTCCAGGGTGGGAAACACCAACTGGGTGGCCAAGGGAATGAGTGTATTCTCCAACTGCAGTAGGAGGGATTTAGGTCAGACCACAAGGGGAGCTGTGCAGGAAAATGATGCTCCTCTAGGTATCTTGGAATTGGTCCAGTATGGAAACACGGTGTCCACAAAGGCTATAACCAGATCCCCACCTCTGACTGTCCTCACCCCATTCTCCATTTCATCAATCATAATCTCCAGGGCTGACCCCAATCATGCAGCTTCATCTTCTACCACTCTAGCAGACCTGCCTCCCCTCCCCCACACCCCCACCACTCAGGGACAGCAGTATAGACATAACCCCAGACATAACCACCTGAGATGGGAAAGTGAGCACAGCTCAAAAGCTCTGTGAGAATGACATGCTTCCACTCCTCCACCCAGCAACTGGGACCTTGTTGATTCTTGGAACAAGTTCCTGAAAGTCTTGCTGGTCCAGTGGGATTGAGTCCTCTGCATAGAGTCTCATGAAAATAGGGAGGCCTTGCTAGACACTGAGTATGAACTCTCCATAAGCTCCCTAACCCCTCATTCCATATTCAGTGGCGACCCCCTGACTGCCTCTCCTCCAACCCTTCCCTCCAGGTTCACTGAAGGCTCAACACGGAGATGGTCCTGCTCTGATTGCCTATCACCTTTATGTAATTGTTGGTTGTTTGGAGTCTGTGCCCCTGTTCTGTAGGCAGCCTTCAGGCTCCACACATTGCACTTCTCCCTCAAATTAAGTGATGACCTTGATCTGTGCAGACAGATCCTTCAGGCCCCAGCCTCCTCTACTCCCACCTGAATTCTAGAGACTTCTCCCCCAGGGAACAAGGACAATGGCTCAGAGTGAATGATAAAAGCGTTTTATTAAGGATTCACCCAAAGATGGTTAGAGGGAAGAAGAAGGGGTGGATGAGACACTGAGTGATTCTTGTCCTGACCTTGCAGGGCCAGTTGCTGCCAAGTGACAGAGGAGTTTGGTCCTGATGTAGAGGGATATGGGGATCCTGGGCTGGGAGGGGACATACATGACCCTGATGATTCTGTAGATGAAGCTCCTGTTTGTGGTCTCCTCTGCCCATGGGAGGCAAAGAGTCAGTTGACACCCCTCCCATTCCAGGGGGGCCACCAGGCCCAAATCGAGAAGAAGCTACCAAACTCCAAGAGGGCAGAGTCCACACTGGGGTGACACTGGTAAGATGAATCCCAGAGAGGGAGGGTAGAGGCAGAGGTGAAGGAAGCACAGAAGACACCAGGGCTGGGCCCAGCTGGGCTCGGGGGCGGCAGGGACCTTGTCTCCTCTATCGGTGGGATCTCTTGGTCATGGTGGTGGAGATGATCTTGCTGCCAGAACTGCCACAAACACCGCCACCAAACCCAAAGCCACTTCCGGAGCCAGAGCCAAAGCCACTGCCCAGGCCAAACCCAGAGCAGCTTCCTAATCCTCCGCTGATACCCCCAGCACCAGTGCCTCCACCAAACACGGCTGCAGGAGAAAGGGAAAGGATATGGTTATTCCAACAATACTGGCAATCGGGGGGTCTCCGCCCAAACCAGGGTGGACAAACAGCCATAGCAGGGGCAGAAGGTACTTACAGATGCTCATGGCACTCTGGCATTCTCCAGACATTCTATGGGGGAAACAAAGAACAGTGAGTCACAGTAGAACCCTGAGCCATGCTTGGTTCAATAAGCAGGTCTCAAGCACCTATCAATCCTTATGCATCCAAATTAAAGGACTGGATGTGAGCCTGTTGTCTACACTGCCCTGGATCATAATGCACCCATGCCGTACTGAAGCAGGTGGCCCAGCAGAGGTGCAAACTCCTGGTGCTGGGATCTCTCCCTCCCTCACATTCCTGTCCTGCCTTCCCTATCCCACCTGCACTCCTCGCCCTCCAGCAGCTTGCGGTAGGTGGCGATCTCCACATCCAGGGCCAGCTTCACACTCAGGAGCTCCTGGTACTCGCGCAGCATCCGGGCCAGGTCCTCCTTGGCCTTCTGCAGGGCAGCCTCCAGCTCTGTGTACTTGCTGTAGGCATCTTTGAGGGCCAGCTCCCCACGCTGCTCTGCATCAGCCACAGATGCTTGCAGAGTCTGGCACTGTAGACAATAGCATTGAACAGGAAATCATCTGTGTCCTGCTGTCAAGGCCTCGCCACCTGTCCCCTGTCTTGTGCCGGCTTTTATGGGTTAAGATGTCAGGATTCTGTCTGTCCTTTTCCCCACCTACTCTACTCTTATGCATTTCATTTACTCCAACCAGGGCCCACCAATGTCCCCACCAGACTGATTAGCTGAAGATGAGCAAAAAACAATGAAGAAGAGCAGAGAAACCTTATTTACCAGGGTGTCATGTCAGGTTAAGTAGGGTACTGCTGAAAGGACCTGGGTATGGCTTATATAAGGAGTCACAAATCCCCTGCATGCAAGCTCAGGATCTTCTGGCCTGATGCCTGAACTTCTTGTCTACTATGGAGACACCTGTCTTAGGCTCCTGGCCTTGTACCATGGTCAGAAAATGGTGACACTTACCTGCTTCTTGACATTCTCAATCTCAGCCCGCAGCCTCTGGATCAACCTGTTGAGCTCTGAGATCTCACTTTTGGTATTCTTCAGGTTGTCACCATGTTGGTCAACGGAGATCTGGAGTTGTTGGACCTAATATCCAGGAAAACACAGGGAACGAGGGGTCAGGCGTGTTTGGGTAGGGTCTGCTTTCAAGTTAACTCAGCAAGAATAGGCACAGGTGGCAGGGATAATACAAAATGTCATGTAATCTCAAATCAGACCAGAATCAGAGATTCCTGGATGATCAGTTCATCTCTGACTTCTCTTGGGCTTGAGCTGATGGTCACCTGCTCACAGAAATCAAAAGCAGAGCCCCAGAAACCACTCCCATCTTCTGAGAGATCCCTGACACCCACCTTGGTCTGGTACAGGGCCTCAGCCTCAGCCTTGCTCTTCTGGGCAATCTCCTCATACTGGGCACGGACCTCAGCAATGATGCTATCCAGGTCCAGGTCCCGGTTGTTGTCCATGGACAGGACCACGGATGTGTCTGAGACATGCCTCTGCATCTGGGACAGCTCCTGCAGGGAAAATATCTCATGTCAGGCCCCCCAGAGAGTCTTCCCTAATCTCTGACACCAGAAATCCACTGTGGTCATGGAGATGGCCATGCCACAGACTTAGATGGAAGCAGAGCTGGCTGGCATCCCAGTGTGTAGGGAAGGAGAAGAATGGTAAATTTCTATGTAGAAATCAAGTGATTGGTGACAATTCAAGACAGAAAAGTAATGCTTCTAGTCTTCACTGCTCTCTGGGATCCATAAGCCATCCCATGTCAGTAGGTGTTCAGTACGTTGAATAGAAGGGAAGGGAATGGATTCATTTCACCAGGGAAATGCTAGACAGCAAGAAATTCTATCCCATGCAATCTTGAGATCTAATCCTCCTTTCTAAGACAACATCTGGTTTCAAAAACCTCCCGGTTGAGTCTCTCACTTCAACTCTCTCTACCTATGAGCTAGCTGAGAGCACCCTCAGCAAGTAAGGGAGTTGGAGTCCTACTATAAATTCCCCAGCAGCCTCACAGATTCTGGATTCCCTTTTCAAATGCAGGGGATGAAGTCCTCACCGCAGCAAAGAGGACCCTCAAGAAGTTGATCTCATCGTTCAGAGCATCCACCTTGGCCTCCAAATCCACCTTGTTCATGTAGGCGGCGTCCACATCCTGCAGAGGAGGCAGGGGGAAAGAGACAAGATACAGAAATTCCAATAGGGACAAGGGGGTGTTAAGTGACACACAAAGGTGTTCTCAGCAGCCTTTAGGAAAGGCATCTCAGCACCAGGCAAAGTGGCAAGGGACAAATCATTTGACATCCTCTGCCCTCATGACAACTGCAGAAATGGAAGTTAATGATCCAAATGGGCTTTTTCCCCAACTTCAATTCCTTAGGGTCTGGTTCAGTTACCCACTCCTTTGACCACACAGATCTGGATAGTACCAAGTGGGGTAAAGGTGAGGCCAAGATGGACCAAACCCATGATTCAAGCCAAAGACCACTCCCAAGGGAATGGGTACCTCACAGCCTCTCCAGCCCCTCCTTCATGTTTTACCTTCTTGAGGACCACAAAGTCATTCTCTGCAGCTGTGCGCTTGTTGATCTCATCTTCATACCTGGGGGTAAGGATGAGAAGGAGAAGACAGAAGTCCCACAATGAGCTTGTGTTTCCCAGATCTCTGCTGCTGGGTTTCAAACACTTAACTATTTGGAAATATCCAGGTAATTGTCTACATTTTCCCATTTTCATACAAACATTCATTCAACCTACATTTATTAATTCCATGTGTGAGATACCAGTCTAGACCTTGGTTTATTCAGAGAAGTGAAAATCAAACTTAATAAAGACTGTTTTTAAGAGATAAGGTGTGAGGAGGACAACCAACCACAATCTGGTTGGTTTTATTTCTGTAGAAGGGCTGTTCATTTGGTGGATTAAATTATCAGGAATGCTGCCAACACTAGTTCTCTTTCTTTGGTGTGAGAGTGAATAGAGAAAGGGGGTTGGGATTTTCTCAGCTCCATCCCATAGTGAATATAATAAGACCTACTATGTAATAAATGCTCATTATATGTCCAGTGCTATGCTACCTGCTTTCTCAATCTCATTTAATTCCATTTAATTCTAAAAAGTTAGGGTTATTATCCCCATTTTAAAGATGAAGAAAAACAAGGCTCAGAGAGGTTAAGCAAGTTACCCAAGAGCACGTAACTTGTAAGTGGAGGACTCAGTATTCAAACAAGGACTATCTGCCTCTACAACCTGTATTCTTCTGACCATACTACACCCCTTCTCATCTGTATGGTTTCTGATCTTGCTTGTATATGGCAAGCCCAACTCCCTGAATGTATCACTCATTTTCAGTTTGGGGCAACTCAGGGTTACTAGGCCACACCCCATTAGAAAGGGCCCATGTAGATGCAGGGGCACAAACTAGGGAACCTTCTTGACCCTTTTGGGATCTCTTGAGAGCTTGAATTCTAAATGACTGGACAGGAGCCCAGGAGCCTGGGGCATGGCTGGGCAGACTTTCTCAGGTGGCATCCCTCTATCCTCCATACATACTTGGTCTTGAAGTCCTCCACACTGTCCTGTGTGGTCTTCAGCTCAGACTGCAGGCGTCCTTTGTCACTGACCAAGGTATCCAACTGCTTTCTCAGGGCACTGATGTAGGCCTCAAAGAGAGGCTCAAGGTTTTTGCTGGATGTGGTGGTCGTCTGCTGCTGGAGGAGGTTCCACTTGGTCTCCAAGACCTTATTCTGTTGCTCCAAGAACCGCACCTGTGTTTTTAAAAGGCACCAACCAACCAATGAGGACCTGAAGCTTTGGCAGGAGGACTGGCCAAGGCCACCCAGGTGACCCAAGAGCCATGCAAGTAGGGCCACCATGTTGCAACTCCAGGCACCATCCACTGGGGTCAACATGGTGGCCCTGCTCCATGGCAGCAAATGAGCCACATGTGTTGTGGAGAACAGAGGACAGCCAGAGAGCCACAGGGCCTGACTACGCCACAAGTACAACCTCTTGACCCCAGGGATCCAGAGGCCCTGGGGGGAGGTGCCGAGAAGAACACTGAACTTCTAGGAAATAATAAAATAAACAAAACTAGGAGATACAACCACAGTCTGGGGACTCCTGCATCAAAGTGATCCTGACCCAAGGCAAAGGAATGATAAATTCACTGACAATTTTTAAAATAAATGGACCTGGGGCGCCTGGGTGGCTCAGTTGGTTAAGCGACTGCCTTCGGCTCAGGTCATGATCCTGGAGTCCCTGCATCGAGTCCCGCATCGGGCTCCCTGCTCGGCAGGAAGTCTGCTTTGCCCTCCGACCCTATCCCCTCTCATGTGTTCTCTCTCATTCTCTCTGTCTCAAATAAATAAATAAAATCTTTAAAAATAAATAAAAATAAAGTAAAATAAAATAAATGGACCTGGTGTGTCTCTTTAAACCTGTGTACAATTGAGTCTGAATAGTTAAAGATCAAGGCCCTAGACACATTCTGAGTCTCAGCCAGGCTCACCCTGCAAGGGGACGTCCCAGAACTCTCCCTCTCTCTGTAAAGACATCTAACCAGATAAACCAGGATAGCAGCTTAGCATGATATTCCCACTATGTTCTTCAGAGCTGAAAGAAAAGCAGGTGAGGGCGACTGATCACAGTCTGAACCCAAAAGGTGAGATGAGGGGAGATGAGACAAGGAATCACCAGACCCTGGGTCTTGGTTTTATATCTGTATGTCCTGGAGTCACCATAAAGCCCCTTTAAGCTAGTGATGGTTTATTCAACTAGCAAGAAGAGCAAGCACTTCCACTCAGTCTACTTCAAGATGGTTCAATCTTGCCCCATTCATCTAAGAGGACTAAGACCGATGCACAGAGAGCCAGGGCATCCTTGACTGAGTGGCTATACTCATCCACTCAATCATTAATCTCCGGGTGACTCAGCAATCTGGGCTAATCTGCTTGCTGTCATCCATCATACTTGGCTGCAGTTGAGCTTAAAAGACTTGATTCTCTAGACTTTGCATAGAAAAGGAAGTTGGATTACAAAAAGAAAAGGAGAGATCCCTTCTCTCTTCAAACAGATCCAGAAATGAGCAATTTTGTTCAGGGTCGGGAGGATGAAGGAGATGACCCCCCAAGGTCCTATTGGGACCCAGTCTGTCATTGGCATCAGTCCCTTTTTCATTTGGGAAACCAGCCTGGTTTTCTTCCGCTCCTACAACAGAAGTGTCAATAGTTAAATTATTACGTTAACTATAATTATAGTTAATTTTTAAATTATTAACCATGTTATTTCTGAAACTAAAATCTGAGGAAAAGCTGGGATGCCTGGATTCAGAAAAGTTGAGCGATTTGCCCAGTATACACAGCACATCTAGGAAGACTCCAAACATTGCTTTGGTCTGAGCAGCCTGTGCATTGCTCCCACCAGCCATGCACAAAAGAGGAAGACACAAAAGGACAGGGATTCCCCTTAAACAGCTGGAACATGGAGGCCCAGAGAATTTCAGTGGTTTGCAATGCTGCTGCAGGCTCAGGTCTGAGATCCCAGGACTCTGGAACCCTGGTTTCTACCACCTTATCTGGCCAAGGGGACAGCTCACCTTGTCGATGAAGGAGGCAAACTTGTTGTTGAGGGTCTTGATCTGCTCCCGCTCCTCAGTCCGGACCTTCTGGATCTCAGGGTCGATCTCCACGTGGAGTGGGGTCAGCAGGCTCTGGTTGGTGGTGACCTCCTGAATCCCACCAGCAGGACAGGCGGGGAAGGCAGGACCACCCCGTCCACTGAAGGAACCCCCAAATCCACTACCAAAGCTGCCGGCACCAAAACCTCCAGCAGCCCCAAAGCCAGCGCCTTGTCGGGACCCAGCCATGCTGATGGCGATGCTCTTCCTCCCCCCAAGGTTGTAGAGGCTCCTGCTGCCGAAGCCTCCAGAGGAGCAGCGGCCCGTGCCCCCAAACATGGACACTGAGCTGAATGCAGCCCTCTTGCCCCCACCGACGACAGCTGAGCCACAGCTAAAGCCCCGGGACCCGCCTCGGACACACTGCTGTCTGGTGATCATGGCTGGAGGGAGGAGAGCGAGCTTGGAGTTGTCAGAGAAATACAAGGGGCCAGGCCTGTGAATGTTGCAGCCCTAGCCTGGGTCTCTTATATGTGCTGGAGCAGCAGGGCTTGGTTGCAGGGGCATAAAGGGAAAAATCTGAAACATCTCTGGGCTTGGCCTTTGGCACAGGCCCATCCTTCTCGTACCTGCTGAGTATGTCACTAAATACACCTACAGATGTCATTCGGAGGGCACAGTTTACAGAATCCCAACACACTCCCCTCCGGGAGAACTTGAACCAGTGCCCCAGGTCCTCCTGAATCACAGGTCCCTGCCCAGGCCCAGCCCTTCGGGCCCGCCACTCACTGCACTTCCATCTCGACAGCCTCCCTGGGGACCCTGGCTCCCCACAACATGGCCCATTGCCCATTCTCTCACTCCACAGAGTTTGGAAACTGAGGGCCTGGATTCAAGAACACAGCCCACGCTTACCTGCTCTGCAAACCTGGAGCAGGTCACCAGCTGGGGCTCAGTTGCTTCACCCAGAAACTGGAAATAATACAAATATTTACCTTCACCTCTTCTCAAGATGCAGGGGGATGATCATCATTGTAAACTGTCAGAAGCTGCACCTATATTTATTACCATGATTATTATTCCTCCATCTGCACTCAGCCCCACATGCACCTACAAAAGAAGAAATCCATAGTCCAGCCTTAGAACCTTCCAAACCTAGATCAAGATTCACCTCAACTTGACACAGTTGTTGAGGACCTACTATGTGCCCATTGCAGAGCTGGGGACTGAAGAGAGCTAACTGCCTCGGGCCCTCAAGAATCCCATTCTTTCTCCAGCCTCTGTTTGGGTCTGTGTAGGAGTCTAGATCAGCGTTCTCCAGTCTGGGTCCCTATTGGGTGAGCCCCACTGCTCCGTTTGCTGCCAACATGTTTGCTTGGCCCCACCAGGACAGAGCATGTTCTGTTTTCCCATAATGATTCCAGCGTTCGGGGCAGGAGTTTGTAATCCTTTTGGTGCTGAGGACCCCTTTGGCAGAATAGCGACACCCATGAGCCCCTTTTCAGGGCAATGTTTTTAAATGCAAAATCCTAGGTGTTAAGCCCTAACTTAAATTCTTCCCCACTGAGTGACATGGACCTGTGTTCAAATCCCACCTTTTGCCACTAACAAGCCAAACTCATTCAGCCCATCCTCTCATTTCTAAAGGGACCCCGCAGCACCTAGCACATAGTAGGTCAGTGGACATTCATTCTTACCCTGCCCAAATTTTGCCATTGCCACTTAGGATAAGAAATTAGACAGATCTGCGGCCCTCCCCCTCTTCTAAAGCCCTGATAAGACTGCCATTCTAAATCTGGGGAACAGCAGTGATCAGGGCCTGGGTAATTCCCACAGGCCCGAGCTGACCCTGACCGACTGAAAGCTGGCAGAAAGGACTAGCTCCCTCCCTGCAAAGAGAAAGGGCAGGGCCCATGAGGTGCAAAGAGGGAGGTCAGTGGATCCAGTTCTCGGGGATGGGGCTGCAGGGAAGACTGGACCGCCTGGGAGCTCCCTCCTCTCCCCACCCCCACCCCCACCCCCTCTCCCTGCCCCCCTCTTACCTCTACCTCTGGTCTGCACCCCTCCCTTGGCACCCCCCACCTCAGCCTTTGCTCAGCTCCACCCGCCCCAGCCCAGGAGACCTCTAAATAGATGGAGGGTGGGTGGAGAAGCCGTGTCAGCGAGGCCAGGAGGCCCCTAGGCTCCATCAAAGGTCCACGGAAGAAAGCCCAATGGGTAGTCCATCCACCTGCAGTAAGTGAGCATCCTAGAGTCAGGACCACCTCCTATAAGGGATGCAGCGGAACCTTCACTCCTTCTTTCAGTGAGTATTTATTGAGTGCCAGCTTTGTGCCAGCCCTGTGCCGAGTGCTTTATACCCATGGCACCATTCTACCTTCCTAAAAGGTCTCCGAGGGGTCACACAGTCACACGTGGTGGAGCCAGGACTTGAACTCACACCAATCTGGTCCCAAAGGCTCTGCACCCCCAGCCTCTCACTGTATCATCCTGCCTAGTATGAAGTCAGTTGTCTAATTTCTACAGCAGCCAATCCAGAATCAGGCACCTGAACAAACCTAACCGAACTGACCGTTCAGGTCAAGGGGGCTCTGAGGGCACTGATATCCCAGGGTCTACTGACTTCCACCCTGACCCCAGGCGTGGGCAGGGCTGGGAAGGAAGATGGAGCTACTCTAGGTATCTGGGGCTGCCGCTATGGGAACAGAGGAGATCTGGCAGCAACCCCCGCCTTGGGAAGCTGAAGTCTGATTCTCAGCTGTCCTGCCCCGAGAGGAGATGAGAAGGCCACCAGGATCACAGCCTGAGTGAGGGCCCGGAGCTCAGACCCTCTGCACCTCCCACTCACCGCTCCGTTCTCTTGCCCCTGGAGGGTTGATGAGAACTTCCATGGGCTAGGAGGAGGGTTTGCATCTGCAAAGGTGAAGCCCCAAGGTGGCTCCTGATGGCTCCTGGTGGCTCTCCCGCTCCCCCTGCTTATGCTCTCTCTCTGTCAAATAAATAAATAAAATATTAAAAAAGAAAGAAAGAAAGAAAGTAGGGGTAGAAGGGATTGGGGGGCAGGGATAATATATAATATATAATCAATCTAATTTTGTGCCTGTGGGTACTTCTCAATTGAGGTACTTCTCATGAAGCTAACGCTAAATCAAGGCACATACCATCCTGAGATTTAAAGAAAAATAAGACAAGGGGAAGGCCGTAGTGCTTTACAGATAGAAGGGACTCTCGTTTAGAGCTGCCATTATGTGCTGGACACCAGGTGCCTTTCTTAGAACAATTCCACTCCTCACAACAACCCTGGAAAGAGGTGGTGCTATGCTCAGTTTAGAGCTGCAGACTTTGAGGCTCAGAGAGGTTACGTAACTTGCCTGGGCTCACACAGCTAGGACGTGATAGCAGTGGGAAGCCAGACCTCTGGGTCTAACTGCAAAGCTTGTGACCTTAACCTCTACACCACAGTGCTTTACATCAGTGACTCTGCCCCACATGATACCTGCAGAAAAAAAAAACCAGCATCTTCTACAGACCGTAGCTTATGATCCACCAGAACGGCAACAGGTCTTGACCAGCACGCTGCATATTCTGCAGAGCTGTCTCTGCTCCTTCTGTCCTTGCTTTTGTCATATGATAGGTTGCTCGGTGTAGGTGACCCTGCCCTTGCAAGTATCCAATAAGGTAGGACGTCGTCCCGAGGGGCCAATTCTGTGTCCTTCAATTAACCAAATCCAAATTAACTTAATTACGAATCCTACAATAAACCCAAACCAAACAGGAAGAAAATTCCAGACAAGAGCCATATTCTGTGGCTTTATTAAGTCAGAATTGTCAGAAGTTCACAAAACCTCAAACTGTAGCCTGCAAAATTGAGGGTAGACATATGGTCGGTCTGCAAGAGGGATTTCACCCTCCAATGAGAGAGGCAGCGATGAGTGTCTTTCCCTGGAAAAAGGAGAAACCTGCTGCCCGTCCTGGGCTGGAGTCAGGAGACTGGACGAGGCGACTCTAGCAGACCGCAGTGGCTAGAAGCTGGTCCCCAGCCCACCCCCACAGCTTCCACTGCTGTCCTCCATGACCCTCCCTCACCTGGCGCTGTTCCTGACTTTATCAAAGAGGATGAGCAGCTGACAGGGGTGTGAAGCAGGGGCGGGAGGGAGGGTTTGCTCTGGGCTTTCAGCTTGGGATTATGGGGATCCCGAGGTCTTTCACTCAGCCCCGAAGCTGCTGTGTGCTGTGAGAAGCGCCCCCACCCTCCCTGGCCGGTCTGTGCCCTGTCACCGGGCCTCGGCCGCCACATGGGGTCTGAGTCACTCTTTGGGGAGCCAGAGCCAATTGGGGATTAGAGACTCTAAAGAAAAGGACCAGTCAGCATTTCGGGAAGGGGCCAGGGAGAACAGTGAGAGGTGGGACTCCTACATCCCGGGGTGGGGGGAAGGGTTCTGTGCACGGGGTCTCCCCTTTCCCACCCTGGGCATGAGCAAGCAGGGGTTACCTGACACATTTTGACAGCAAAGCCATTCTTGTCATCAAAACCATGCCTGGCCCCATTTGTAAAACAGACAAAAGGAGATATGCTCCGATCGGTGCAGAGCGGAGGGCTGTGAGGTTCTCACCCACTGCCTGCACCCCTGAGCAGCCCCTGGGGTCCTCAGGCTCCAGGAACTTGGTGTGGGAACCCCTGTGTCCAGGCCATTCCCAGTCTTCAACGAGTATTTCTAAGTAATATGTTGTTGTCAATGGAGCTTCCTGACAAGTGATATAATCTTGGAGTGTTATTGCATGATAATCCAAATGTCTCCATTTAGGTTTTAAGCTCTAAAATATAATTTCAATGAAACCATTTGCTTGTTTTACTCTACCATGCGCAAGCTCCCCAGGGCTCTCTACCTGTTTTCTCACCTATAAAATGAAAAGTTTGGACTAGATCCCATCCAAAATCCCTTCCAGCTCCAGTACCCCCTGCTTCTCTGTTTCTTTTTCTATAAAAGTGGCATAACCCAGTTGTTAAGAACTTGGGCTCTGGAATCGGATTGCTTAGGTTCCATACCCAGCTCTGCTACTTACTGGCTGTGTGACCTTAGACGAGTTACTTAGCCATTCTGTACCTCAATGTCCTCTTCTGCAAGATGTACTTCTATCAGAGGCTGTTGTGAAGAGTGATTAGTTAGAGGGTTAACAGCAGTTCCAGCCCACAGCAAGCACTCCGTGAACATTAGCTATCATTCCTAGAAGGTGTCGGACATGGGGGGTGTTCTACACTCCAACCCCTAGAAGAGAAGCATCACTCTGTAAGTGTGACTGTTTCCCAAGCTAGAGACCACTCAGGTTGGTAACCAGGTGAGCTGGTTTTGCTAAGTGCTAAGACTTTATATTCCTAAGCTGTGGTTTAGGGTTTGGCTCAAAATCCCTCTGCTGGCCTTCCCGTAACCCTGGAGGAAGTTTTCACAGGGCATGTCTGGGCTCTTCCAAGGAGGACGGGGTGGCCAGGCTCAGAATGCTGGCAATATCAAG